CAGCTCCAGCTCCTGCTCTGATCTAGGGGCTGATGTGTGTGCTGATGGCCGCGCCCCGCCTGTGCTATGTGGGGCCAGCGCCCCGATTCCACCAGAGAGCCCCAGCACTGCCGCTTCAGCAAGGCCACAGCAGGACTTTGGAGACACTGGGAAGCCCACCTCTCACTCTTGACTCTGAGAGAGCTGAGGGGGCTCCATCTGGCCTTCTCTGCAGAGATCCTTATCCCACCAGGGACACCAGTCACACCAGGAGAGGACCCCAGCCCCTCCTCTGTCTGAGCAGGTGTCTGCATATGTATGCCTTGCATGCACATGCAAATGTCAGAGCGTGTCAGGGCGTGTGGCCCAGGGCCAGAGGCTGCGCGGGCTGGCAACAGTTTTGGGGCACCAGAGACCCCTGTGTGTGTTGACCCGTCCTGTGGGTTGGGAGGCTCCTCGGCAAGCGGGTGGCCCTGGCCAGGTGTCTGGGGCCCGAGTCACGTGAGGGCGGGGTGGCGGCGCCTGCCAACGGCACCCAGCTTCTCCTGCAGGGTGGCGAAGTCCGGCCGCTCCTCAGGGCTCCGCTGCCAGCACTGCAGCATGAGCGCATAGACCTCGGCGGGGCAAGCAGCCGGGCGCGGCAGCCGGTACCCTCGCATAATCTGCTGCAGAGTCTCCTGGTTGCTCATTCCTGGGGAGGGGGATGAGGGGCTGGGTGGGGGCTGCCTCGCCTCTGCCTGGGGTCACCGTGGAGACCTCCCCCCAGCCATCGGCCAGACCCTGCCAAGCAGGCAGCCTTGAGGCCTGGAGCCCCTTCCAGGGTCAGTGACCCCCGGGGCAGGGACACCTCTTGCTTCGGGCTGGCTCCCGCGCTTCCTCCCTCAGACTACGCCTCGCCTCTGGCCTTGAGGCCCACCTTCGTAGGGACACTGGCCGTAGGTGAAGACTTCATAGAGCAGAACTCCGAAGGACCAGACATCCGACTTCTGGGAGTACAGGCAGTAGTGGGCTGCCTCAGGCGCCGTCCACTTGACAGGGATCTTGGAGCCACTGCTCGGGGAGTAGATGTCGTCCTGGGTGAGGCAAGACCAGTCAGGCAGTGGGCAGAGTGGCACCCTCCCCTCCCAGCCGCTCGGCCGCCCCACCGTGGTCCACGGCCAGAGCTCACCCTGACCTTGAGCAGCCGGGCCAGGCCAAAGTCAGCCACCTTGCAGGCCAGGTCGTCGCCCACGAGCACGTTCCTGGCAGCCAGGTCCCGGTGCACGATGCGCCGCTCCTGCAGGAAGCTCATGCCCTCGGCCACCTGGCAGGCAAAGGTCAGCAGGAGAGGCGGGCTCAGGGCCTGGCCTTCGGGGCCTGCAGGCAGGGCCGACAGTCAGGGCGCAGGCATCTGCCCGTCACTTCCCTCCATGCGCCAGTCTAAGACGGGGCGGAACAGCACTGCCCACCGAGGCTGCTGAGGGCTCTGTGCTGCCGCAGTGACCCCACGGGCAGTGGCCACTTGGAGCAGGCGGCTCTGTGGCAGCCTGGCCTGGGTCAAGAAACGGACCAACATTGGGAGGGGGCGCCCAGGGCTGGGCGGGGCCCCTGCTGACATTGTCCAGGGCTGGTGACATGGAGGCCCGCCCCATCTGCATCCCACCCAGCCCAGAACACAGTGCCCAGACCCCAGCCCGACCTCGCACGTGGCCAGAGCCCACCACGGCCATCCGAGCCTCAGACGATCGAGCGTCCAGGATAGAGGCCTGGAGCGCAGTCAAAGGCAGGCACGAGCCCAGGCTGGAGTCCTCGTCCCCTCCGCAGACACTCACTACCCAGGAAGGCCTGCAGGCTGCCCCTGCGCATGAGCTCAGTGACGATGTACACTGGCGCGCCCACGGAGCACACCGCATGCAGCCGGATGAGGCGCTGGTGCCTCAGGCTCTTGAGCGTCCGGATCTCCTGGGCGAGATCGGTGAGCTTCATGTCGGCTGCAGGACAGAGCAGAGCTCCAGGACCCACCCCTCCCTCCCCTGACCCCCCACCCCAGGCTCCAGGGGCACCACCCCTCCCCCATGCTCTCCCACCCCAGGCTCTGGGGGGCCCCCGCTCCTCCCCTGTGCCCCCCCACCCCAGGCTCCGGGGGCCCCATCCACCTGGTTTGATGACCTTGATCGCCACTGGCACAGAGCCCAGCCACAGGCCTTCCCACACCTCCCCAAAGTAGCCTTCGCCCAGCTTCCTCTGCAGGGTGAACTCAGAACGTGGCCGCTCCCACTCGTCCTGCTCGGGGGTGGGGGGCACTCAGCACCTCTGCACGTGGCTCCTGGGCAGAGTGGGCACTTCCTCCCAGGGTGCCAGGTCTCCCACCCTCTGCCCCTGCATCCCAGCTCAACCCTGGTCTTGGGTGGGGTAAGTGGCCCAGCTGCTGACCTCCCCAGGCTTGGCCCTAATTGCTTCCGGACCAAAGTGGCACCTTTGCTGGCGGTAGGCATCAGCTCACAAACACTCATCACCACCCGTCTTGGCTGTCATTAAGAGACCAGAGGAACCAGATCGCCGCCTGGCCCCTGGCAGGACTGCTCGCCCAGGATGGTTGCAGAGACACTGTGGCCCCAGTGCAGGTGTGGCAGGGTCCCTCCCGCATCCCCCACAGCCTCCGCATTGGCCTGGGGCTGCTGTGGGCGCCTTCCCCAGACTTGTCCCTGCCCTCCTGGTGCTCTACTGCAGAGCTGGGCGGTGGGAGAGGGCACCCTACAGGCCTCTCTCCCCCTGTGCCAGGGATCCCCTGAGATGGTGAGAGCAGACCCAGCCCCAGGGCAAGGCCCCAGCCAGAGTGTGGAGGAGGCAGTGGGACACCTGAGCAGCACCTGGCCCAGGCCAGGCCAGCCGGATGTGCTCCGGGCAGCATCTCAGGCCTGGCGAGGGGCAGCCTGGCAGGTGGGGGGTCAGTGGGCTTACCTGGGGCACACAGGGCTGGATCAGCTGCCAGTGGACCTTGTAATAGGCCAGGAGCTCCTCCAGGCTGGGGAAGAGCTGGTCCTTCTGCAGGTAGAGGCTGCCGTCGGCTGCCATGGAGATGCGGTAGTGGTGGACTTTGGCCTGGGCCCGGACTTGGGGGCACAGAGAAGGAGGCTGTGTCTTGGCTGCAGCCCGCCCTAGGCTGTCCCAGCACCCCAACCAGATGACCCACCCAACCCTCCTCGGGGCCCGGCTCAGCCCCCGCCTTGCGGCCCTGAGATGACTGCAGCTGCGTGGAGGCCACAGGGGCAGTGGGAGGGCCGGGGGGTCCCTGCTGACAGTGTGCACAGAGCAGGTGCTCAGTGGATACTCGGGGGACAAACGAGTCCACATGTGGGTGGAGGAGCGGGGGAGCGGCAGGGTGAGTGAATCGAGGTGAAGGGACCAGTCCAGGGGTGAACGGGTGGGCAAGCACGTGAGTGAGTGGTGACGGGAGAATGGGTGAGTGTGTAAGTGAAGAAACACATGCGTGCGGGGGCGGGGGATGGGTTCGCCAGGCCCGTGGTGGCTTAGGGGCTGCCCTGCCTGGGCAGCAGCCACCCAACAGCCGGGGCAGTCAGCCTGGCGGGAGCTGGGCGCGGGGCCTCAGGGCAGGGACACGGTACCTGACAGCGAGAAGTCCCCATGGCTGCTCTCACTGGGCCGGACGAGGAAGGCGCCTGGCGCGTTGCCAGGGGACAGGAGCAGCTGCTGGGCCTCAGCCCGGCTGATGCCACTGAAGTACCAGCTGCAAAGGGTGAGCACAGCGGTCCTCACACAGGCCCCACGTGGGTCTGAGGCCCTGGAGGCCCACCCTGTGCAGATAGCAGAGCCGAGGCCCGAGGCCCTGCAGTCTCTCAGGGAGAAGATGCACACGGTACCCGAGGCTGGTGGCCCAACCCAGGGTCTTGCACCTGCCCCAGCCCCCAGGGCTCAGCCTCTGGGGTCGTCAGGGACCAGATGGGAGGACCACTGGGCTGGCAGAGGAGTGACACAGCCACTAGCAGTGACCTGTGTCAGGTGACTGTCCACCACCTCAGCCATAGGCTCTCCTGCTCGTAAAATGACCATGAGCCCAGGCCACAGGCTTAACCCACCGAAGTCCAAGGCTGCAGAGTGGAGGACTGCAAAGGGAAGGGGTCCACCAGGGACCAGGGGGCCCTGATGAGCTGCCCCCTGTGTGGGAGGGGCTGCAGTTGTGGCAAGGAGGACCAGCGCACCACCCGGCTGGACGCAGCCCGCACACCTTGGGAGGCAGACAAGTGAAGTGAGAGAAACAGGACTCGCCCTGGAGTGGCTGGAGAGGCTGTGGAGAAGCTGGGGGAGGCCAGAAGCATCGCATGTCCGCCCCTGAGGGGCCGTGCCCAGCGCAGGCCCCCGCCCCCAGCCCTCTGCACACACAGAGGTGCTTCCTCTGTGAAGCCAGGTGTGCTGAGGTGGCTCTGAACACCAGGGCGGCAAGGGCTCCCAGGCACCCACTCCCCGGTCTGTGTAGGATGCTCAGACACCGGGAGCTCAGATACCTGAGCACAGAACAAGAGCAAGGGCCTGCCTGGGGCTCCCCCATCTGACACCCCATCCAGGCCGACTGGCTACCTAAGTGCAGCTCCCTGGTTCCACATTCTGGGGAGGAAAATGGAAAAGCCCCTAGCCCCACTCCATGGCCTGTGCCTGCTAGCCGAGGCCCAGAGTGGGGACCCCACCCCTGAATCAGCAGCTTCCTTCCTGGAGCCTCCTGCTTCTGGATGCCTGCCCCCCGGGGTAGGGGGCACTGCTGCCCAGGGACAGTTTGGAGAACACAGCCCCTCATCCATCCTGATGGGGGGACGGCAGAGGGATCTGGGGACTGTGGAGGTGGGGCAGCTCTCAGACCACTGTGGGGTGGGCAGAATCAGCAGGGACCCTGGAGGACCCAAAGCATGATTCAGTAAGTCAACACAAGGTGGGGGTGTCCCCAGACGAGGGGACGAGGTAAGCAAAGCTGGCTGTCCTGGGCAGGTGGGCACCGCTGGAGCCTGGGGTGAAGTTGGGGCCTGGTAGGACAGGAGCCTGTGCCCACCCTGGGGAGATATGGGGCTAGGCTGAGGCTGGAGGGAGCGGAAAGCTGGAGACAGGAAGAGGTAGGGCAATGGGGGCGGAGAGGCAGAGGCCTGGGTACATTAGGAGCTAAAATCAGCAGACACAAGAGGAAGGGTTAAGAACTTGAGGACGTGGGACCACAGAGACCAGACCTGGCTGGGCAGCAGGCTCGGGGAAAGCCGACACATTTTTGGGTCACTTTGATTCGGGAGCAGGAGGTGCAGACGTGAGGCCGCTGGGCTTCGTCCACCAAGGGCCTCCACAGCCAGGCCTTGCCCTCCTTCCGGGGTCCTCAAGCCAGGAGAGCCTCCCCCACCGTGAAGGGGCTACAGGGGCCCTTCCCAGGCCTGCCGTGCTTCCCAGCCCCCAGCCCGCCCCGGACCCACAGCAGGGCCGGGAGCAGGCTGAGCCTCTGTGCACACCCGACTTCGGCGATGTTCTCAGAGTGGCTCCCCCTGCCCAGCTGACCCAGGGGCTAATGACACTGTGGGTGTAGTCAGCCCTTTCATCCCAGCAGAGGCAAACAGTCATTAGCTCTTCCTCCCAGCAGCCCCTCCCCTCCCCCCGGAACCCTACCATCACCTCCAGGAGCTGTTCATGGGATCTGTCCTCCACCTGGAGTGACTGTAGGCCCCTCCGCACCAGAATGGCTGGGCACGGTTGGGGCTAGAGTCCCCTCAGAAGGCACCTTCCTGTGATTCAGGCTTTCCCCCAGTTGCAAATCCCCCAGGAGACTGTGGGAGCACCGAGGGGCCCCAGGAGGCTGGAGGTAGCTGGAGTGAAGCTGAGAACGGATGCTGATCGGCACAGGCCTAGCTTGGTGCGGGACCAGGGGCCCATGTCAGGGCGAGAACTGGGTGGTGGGCCTAGCTTTGCTAGCCCTGTCCACCAACCAGCTTCTGGCCTCTTCTCAGCCAGTACGTCACCCCTCTGCAGGCTGGGGCCGGGCAGAGGCATCTCCGCCCCGAGGGTTCTCTGGCCGGGGCCCCATCCGCCTGAAGTCAGGGATTACAGGGCCACGCATCCAGAGGAGACAGGTAGGGGCCACGCCCAGGCTTTGGGTCAAACGCTTGAGGCCCACGTACCATGTCCACAGCCATATGGCGGGGCCGTGCTCAGAGCCGGCACACAGCTGTGCCAGGAGGCTACCCTGTCCTGAGTGCAGACCCTGACCCTGGGCAGAGAGGTCACCTCCTCTGAGGAGCCCTCTGGGAGAGTGCCCCACTCTGCTTCCCTCCATGATCACAGACTGGCATGCAAATAGCCAAGTGTCTGTGCCAGCCGCTCCCTTCCTGTGGACTGCCCTGGCCCCAGGGGCCTTGAGGACTCGGGGGAAATGGGCAGGTTCCCCCAGCTGTATCCACCCCCCCAAACAAGCCTCCTTGGGAGCAATCCCAAAGGCCAGGGCCATGCCTGCCCCAAAGCTAGCCCAGCACAGGAGGCGGGGGCACTGCGGGAAGGAGGACAGGTGAGAGGGGCAGGTGAATGCCTCTCTCTGACCCACCTTATCACCCCTTCCACCCCGGGGTCACCACCTGACCCCTCACAGCATAAGGACGGCCTCTCCGCTGATTCATGTCCTCACTCTCAGTCAGAACTGCATCTGAGATCGTGGCCCCTGGCCCTCTAAGCAGTGGCCACTCAGCAAACACTGCTCAGTCCCTGTGTGAGAGCAGGAGGACCTGGCCAGCAGGGCAGGGCCCTAGAGTGACAACCATGCCGGGTGCCTGGCCAGCAGCACACACACACACCATGCAGCTGACCCCTGGCGCCACCTAGCCACTCCTGCCAGACGGCGTCCTTGCCGCCTTCCCTCCCAGGGGTACCGGGCTCGGCTTGAGGTCACAGGCTGTCTGTGCCCCAAGCCTGTGTGCTTGTTCAGCTCCGAGGGGCAGGGCCTGGAGGCGTATCCCTGGACGGGCAGCCCCCCGACTCCATCCTGTGATTATTCCTGACTCCCCCGAGCGGTGGTACTCACGGTTGGTCCGAGAACGCCTCAGGGGTGACCCTGGTCACGCACGTGACGGGCACCAGCCCGGTTCTGGGCGGGCAGGAGAGCCTGCGGGCGAAGATGTAGCCGCCCTGCTCCCTGAGGGCGTAGAGCC